CCGTGTGCTTCCCCTCAGAGAAGCAGCCTTCTCAGAGTGATTCCCTGGCTCCTCCTCTCCTAAATCCTAACACATCTTGTGAAGTCACCAGGCCATGCATCATAGCAGGACATCCTCACACTGTCTTCTCTACCTCCTCTTCTCCTGCTCCAAAGATGCCTGGATTAAGAAGATGTGAGCCTCCAACAAAGATAAACCAAGCCGAGAAGCAGGAAAAATGAGTATCCAACTTTTTTGGCCTTTATGGATCAGAAGCTGGATTTTCTCCAAATGACTGACCTGTGATTGTGGATAAACCCCATTGTGTTCGTAACACCCTGGAATGCCACGTTTCTGAAGAATCACCACATTTCACACACACATGCACACAAACACAAACATGCATATACACATGCAAACCCCTCCTATATGGGGCCTGCCCACCAGATAAATATTGGGAGGGCAGTCAGGGGAAGCAGAATGAAATTCCACTAGCCAATGTCATTTCTACAGCTGACCCCTAGATTCCCTGCACAGGGTATGTTCACTGTACGCAGTGGCTGGTTTTACCTGTGGCTCCAAGCTGAAACCCTGCACTTCTAATCATCTGAAAGGATCATCTCTCAGCCACCGTCAGTCAACAGGTCTTGATTGGTTCCCTTCAATTCCACCAGGACTTACTGAGCACCTATTAATGCCTAGCACCAGGCTGGGCACTGGGAAGCATCTGCTTTAAGAGCCCATCACCTCTAAGGTTACAAATACAGACAGGAGCCATGTCCTAATCTGTCACCCTGCAGAAGTCAGATGTACAAGCAAGCACATATTTCAAGGGGTGTCTAAAGACTATAAATTTTTTTAAAATATGACATTCCAAGTCTTATACAACTTCAAATACCTATCTGCCATAATTCTACAAGCTCCCATTATTTCATCACTGATATGATGAAAGGTGTTAATCAGTTACTGTCCACACAGATATCCCATCAGGACTACTTCTGGTCTAAAGGGATAAAATGTGAAACCAGGCTCGTATATTCACACCTCGGGCAAGATTAACTCAGGGCCTGAGAGCCACAAGATATGGAACTACTGTCAATATCATGTCATAGTAGCCTCTTCTACATGGTAGCAAAGTAGAGATACTAGTTAAAAGTGTTTAGTGTTTCCTTATTAAATGCTCTATAGGGTAGCAGAGGCAGGCAGGGAGCACCACCCCCCACCCCAACTCTACCAAGGAGATCCATGCACAGCTTTGAAAAGCCTTCTGGCTCTTCTCTGGTGCTTAACATAGAGCGCAGTACACTTGTGCTGGCCGGATTAATGAATAAAGAATTAAAAAGAAAAAAATCATATTTTTCGTTGAAGAAAACAAACCCTTAAAATCAACGTGGACGGGCCGGCCCGGTGGCGCACTGGATAGTGCGCCGCTTGGGAGGCGCGGCGGCACTCCCGCCCGAGGGTTCGGATCCCACATACAGACCGGTTCCCGCTCACTGGCTGAGCGAGGCGTGGGAGCAATGCCGAGGGTTGCGATCCCGTTGCCGGTCCCCGGTCCGGTACGGGCGCGACACTAAGGGTTGCGATCCGTTGCCGGACACAGAAAAAGACAAAAAGACAAAAAAAAAAATCAACGTGGACAATTTGAAGATTATTAGCTCTTTGGCGTCAACTGCACTTGAGGTTCCCAAATTTTAGAATCCCATGCAGAACTAATATCTCCCTTAAAAATGTGGTAACCATTATATGACTGCCAAATTTTCATTTTGACACTTAAGGACACGAAAGAAACATCTACAGCCTCTTATTAGCATCACTTTTAAAAGAAATGACATTTTAACACAAAAAAAAGTTAAGAAGGCCACCTCTTCAAACTTGCCTTCCCAAGAATACCTTGCTGACATCCCTTTACAGGCACCTTTCCTAGAACTGGTGAACACATGGGAATAGGTCGCCGTGGGCCCACAGACGAGGGCTGGGAGCCATGGTCCACACCTCCCCCTCTCAAGTGTGGCCTGACAGAAGAAAACTGTTCTTTTTTCTTTTAAAGCTTATTGACAGAAATTTATTTGCAAAATAATAACTACATCGACAAATAAAGCTCGATATGACTGTATCTTATTGATGTTACAAAACTGTTCTTTTTTATACCCACAGCACTCACTAGTTGGGACCTGATTCCCTCCAAAATTTCTATGGTGCCTCAGCTTCAAGCTGAGAAATGTGCCTTCTCCAACACGTTTCTGGCTTCTCTTTCCTGGGTATTCTCTAAAGAGGAGAGCACCTAGGTTCCTTCTGGATTTACCAGGGTTCATGCTGTTCAAACAGAAACCAGTGCCACAAGTTTCTGAAGGCCACAGTCTAATCAGGATCATTCGGATCATTAAAACTCTAATTAACAGTCGATTTATTATCGGAGCTGTTGTTTCAACACACAGCTGGGTGGAACAAAGTTCAAGTGTGGTATCTTGAACAATAGCAACTGAGTTCCGGTGATGAAAGAAGGGGGGCGTGCCACGCAGCTCTTCCGGTGCAGAGATGCTACGGCTGGCCCAGGGTCAGCAGGGAACTTTTGGGTTACTCTCCTAGGAGAAGAGTTGAGCTTGCCTCGAGCCACCCTCCTAGCCTTGATGTCCAAGGGCAGACCAGGTTGGAAACAAGAATGAGCTTGTTACGTAAGAAAACAACAAAAAGCACAGCGTCACCTTCTACACTTTACATAACTATTCCTTCTTCACAGGCCTGTGAAATTGGTATTACTATTACTATCAGAAAACTGAGGGTCAAGGTAACTGAGGGCCAGAAATAGTGATCATTCAACAGTCAACAAATACTTACTGAGTGCTTCCTATGTGCAGATACTGCACAAAGTGCTATGACTTTGCCCAAGGTGACACAGCTGGCAAGCAGCAAAGGGAGCACCCAAACCCGATCACCCTAATCTCAAGTCCATCCAATTCCATGGCTGCTCCCCAGGCTGAGGTCAGCGTTGCCACACAACACCACAGGACACCAGTGCCAAAGGGCCATGGTGTTCCATGGAAGGGAAGGACAACATGGTCCATCTCTTTAGTTGGCTCCTCTGTAAGGAAAGTCAGTATTAACGATCAACACTTGCTGTCTCCACAGACAAATCAGAGCAGCCACCAGTGTCACATTACTTACAGCACTGTCTATGGTGTGCAGTCCAGAACTGGGTGCCAGGAGCTCATGCACCCTCACAACTCAGTAGTGGTCAGGACAGAAACACCCAGCTAAGCACACATGAAACCCTGGGAGAGAAATCTTTGGCAAAGGAGGGACAGGTCCTAAAGTTCTGAGGGTTTCCAGAACAATGGGATCGGAAATCAAACAGTGGGATTTGAAAGGTCCTACACTTTGAACCAAGAACCGAGACCTCCAGTTTTACTCTCTTAGAGTATCTCAAGAGTTTGGGACCTATTCCTCAAGCATGGCCTTTTAGTCATCTGGCATGTGCTCCGTGCCAGAGATTTTGGAAACAATGTCTGCCATCTACTGTGGCTGGCCATCCCCGCTGACCAGCCTGCCACACAGTTGCATCAGAGAAGGTGCCAGTCACACACTAAGCTGCCTATCTCAAGAATGCCGAAATCTCATGAATGGGCCACACTATGCCTGCAATTACAGGGAGGTGGGGCCAACAGTCATAGGTCACGTACTGAGGCCAAACACGAGAGGCTGGCCCAAATCAATAGATGAGTCAGGGCTCTGAGAATATAAAGCCTTGGGAGCTCAGTACTCCTCACATCGCCAGCATCTTCTCCCCTTCTTGGTGCTTCAGGTAAGTGTGGTTCTACTGGCTCTCTCATCTTCCCAGCTGGTCTTGCCCAGGACTGCAGAGGTTAGGTGGACCGGGGCCTTTCTCCCCTTTAGGATCTATAGGACCTCTGACTTCCCAGCTGCACTCATATTTAGGGACAATTCAGGAAAGGGGTGAGGGCTGAGCTGCTGCTGTGCAGATCTTCTGGACAGATGTAAACTCCACAAAGACTACACTATCTCTTAACTCTCTGGTAGCCACATAGGGACAAGCATGGTGCTGGGCACAGACGGGAACTCTGCAGAGACTGTCCAAGGCAGCCTGTGCATGGTCTGAATGGACCTCATGAGCCTGTCAGGAGGAGAGGCTGAGACCACTCTCGGGGAGTAGGGAGTATGACTCAGAGAGTGTTGCAGATGGGAAGGATTTTAGGAGCCACAGAAACCCAATTCCTGTTTTACAGAGGCAGATGTTCTGAGAGGGAAGTAACTTGTGAGATGCTGGGATGCAACTTCCTATTAGTTACAGTCCCCTCTATCAACCTTGGACTTCAGCAAATCATAAAAGAGATGGCTGATATCTTCTGGTCGGAGACACTGATCCTAAGACCATGAGGGTCTTCTCCCCTGTTTCCAGACAGGACCACAGTGGAGCCTGCCTTTTCTAATAACTAGCCCTTGGATCATAGCCTAGCTTAGTGGGACTGACCAAGAGTCTGAACTAAAGGTTTTTGCAGAAAATGGAATGCAACAGCCTTCTCACATTCCAACAAACCTCTCTCTGTTGTGCTGAGAATGGGTAAAATCCCCCATCCTAGATAGAGGTTTGTGGTAATTTCCTATTTGCATTCAGAGAATTGGTGCTGGGATTGAAAGAGACCTGAGAGAGGAAATGGACATACCCTCTCGTTTTACAGAAGATGAGAAACAGGCGGGAGTGTGGGTGATCCGCCCCAAAATCACACAACAGAGGTCAGAGGCAGAGCTGGGAGAAGGATAATGTGCACCACTAACTGGGCTATTTAAAGCTTGGGCTGAGACATTCCGGGGTGGAACTCAACTCTCTCCCAAAAGCAACAGTCCTAGAGTCCCAGCTGACAGCCGTCCGTCTGGGCGTCTGAAAGGGGCGCCGAGCCCAGGCGGGCTGGTAGCGGGACGGTGACCGTTGCCATGGAGGCAGTGGCCTTCCCCGCCGCATCTTCTTGCCGCTAGTCCAAAGATGCTCTCTGCTCTCCTTCCAGGGTCGCCTTCCTCCTCAGACAAGATGTCTTATCAGAAAAAGCAGCCCACCCCTCAGCCCCCAGTGAGCTGTGTGAAGACCTCCGGCGGCGGCGGCGGCGGCGGCGGCGGCTTCTATAGCGGCGGCGGCGGATCTGG